CTTGAATACTTTTTAAATGAATAAAAAAAATTGAAGTTATACTATTACTGATAATACATTTTCATGAGCTCTTCCCGAAATGATATGCAAAAATAATTTAGCTAGAATAAAAAATTTGTGGTTATTATGATATGTCATATAATTAATCTGAACCCCCTTTGAGAACTGAAATTGTTAGATTATAGAGATTTTGTACCTAATTCCTTTTGAAGACATTGTTTATGATTTTAATTTGTAATTTTTTATGTATCAATGTGAACAATTCTTATGATCTTATTGATATAAACATAAAATACTTAAACACTTTTCCGTGTAATAAAATACTTAAATATTGTTATATAAAAATATTATAGTAGATCATGATTAAACACCATTTAAAGTATGATTAAAGACTGAATGCACTACTTTAGACATAACCAAAAACATAAGAAATTAGTAAAGATCTTTTTGATTAATAACCAAAATAATATACTATATATGAGTTATAAGCAATGCATAATTTGTATACCAACCAACCAACTAAACCAAACCTTAAGTCCCATCAAATGGGGTCGGCTGCATGAATTCTTCTTCTCCACTCGACTCTATCTAAGGCAAAGTAGATCAAGTCATAATTTGTATATTATAAAATTTTTCATTATTTTTATTTTGTTCAAAAAAAATATTTTGATACAAGTGAAATTCATGATTTTTGATAAATTTGATTACACAAATGATGATTTGATTTCAGGTTAAAAATACACTATTTTTTTTTTTTTTATAATTTTGAAAGAAATTATTTTTATGAGCTTTTTAAATAGGATCACATATAGTGACAAAAATTTTCATCAGCCATTAACAAATCGGTTTATATTTAACTTTCAATTATTAAAATTTTCTACACATAAATTATTAAGATTAAAAATTAATTTTTCATTTTAAAAATAAATTTATGTGTGATCCACCAGTCATCTACTAGTATATATATTAATTACAACCAATACAAGCGGGACTTATTAGAAAAATTTTCCCCAAAAAGTTAGTAAAACTTGTTTTTTAATTACATTTATCCTTGAAGTGATGAAGGAATTATCAATTTGATCCTTAATTTAATTATTTGCTTAATTAATCCTTCAACTATTCATTTTTTAAATTGATTCCATTAGTAACGACAACTCTCATACAAAAAGGTCATGTGTTGTTAATCTCAAGAGCAACAAAGAAATTAAACAAAAAGAAAGTCAACAAATAGTATATAGATATTAGAGTTTGATTAATGAGTGTTTTAGTGTTGTTAATATTATATATTAAGTACCATATATTTATATGATCTATCATTTATGCATGGCTATTATTATATAAACAAAATTTTTATACAAAATAATATAAATTATTTATAATCATTTATTAGAAATAAAATAAAAAATCTCAACACTATTTTTTTTCAATAAAAAAAAACCCACACTATGAGTCATTAGTTGCATAAATGTCATTCACTTTGTTTGATTTTGAGTTTTTTTTGTTTTTTTATATTTTTGTACCTTTAATAATTTTTTTAAATATTTTAATCAAATTTATTTACTAAGATAACAAAATATGAAAAAATAAAAAATAAAAACTCAAAACCAAACAAGGTGATTGTCACTTCATTTTGTAATACTTTTTGGTATAAAAATGAGTGGTGGTGGGGTCTCATTGAACCAATATATTGATGACACATATTATGGTAAATAAAATATGATATTGAAATTTAGTCCTCATAGTATTGTTTAGAGTTATGCCATACTTACAATATTTTTCTATCATATTATCACCTTATGTGTAATTACTGTACTAGTTTAATGAGTCATACTATTTATGTGTATTAGAAATGCAATTGTGTTACTATCTAACCAAAAAAAAAGAAAAAAAAGAAACGAAATTGTGACACATCACACGATAAACTAAAAAAATACTTTTTTTTAATATATATTTTTTGACATTATTGTTTAAATTATTTAGTTAATTATCTTTTCACTAATCATAAATATACCTTGACACAATTTAAAGAAGAAAGGCATTGTTGTCTAAATGAGAAGCACCTTACATACTTCAAAGAAGTAAAACGGTGGCGTTTTGTTGATTTACTTTAATACAGCAACATCTTTGTTTTTGTATTTTAAGGACATCAGTATTATTTAAATTGATTGTACATTATATGTTCACACATTCACATGCAATGTGTACAAGTATTTTAAATTGGGTCCAGCTTGTCTCAAGTTGAGATCAAGACTGAACCCGTCCAGTTCGGCCCATAGGGTCCATTTTTTAGACTCGTTTTGATAATCTGAACCGTTCAATGTGTAGAACTCGTCGAGTACTACACGCTTGTAAAAAATCACGTTAATCGGATATCAATCAGTTTTGTATAAAAAAAAAATGGACGGTTAGCCTTCGTTTGGCAACACAGTTTGGGGCTAAAATAGTCACTACATTCCAAAATTGACTAATTTAGCCACTAAACGACAAACACTACTTCAGAGGCATAACTTGCATACATGGCAGGGTGAAAGTAACAAACTACTCCTCATTCAATGTTGACACCAGCACAGCCTCTAAACCACTCCTTACTTGGTGCTGCCATCACTTAGATGAGCCAACGAAACGTAACCGCTCGAAACCCCTTCCACCGCCACCACACCCGTTGCAGACCGCTGGTGACGGCAGCTCCGGTACTCTACAAACACGCAAACCATATGAAGAACGCATTGAAGAGAGTATCCAACAATCCATAGCCTCAGCGGCATTGACGGCGACTCGTTTCGGCTGAGAACCAGAGCTGTCACCGTGACGGCGACGAACGCGAAGTTCCATATCATGCCGAGAACCACCACCGGCTTCGAAAATGCCCAATCGCTCTGGCGCTTCTCTAGCTGCTCTGTCGCGGTCTCTCTCATGAGCATTGACGGTTCTCTCATCATCCGCCGGCTGCTGGCTCGCTGGATGAACCACGTCGCCTCGCTCAAGCTCTGTCGCCGGAGATAGCGACGGCCTCGATTGCTAAAAGTTAATTTTTAGTTTTTTATTTTTATTTTTAAAAGAATGTGTAAAAAATATAAAAGATAATTGTTGACACTAAAAAATAAAATATAAAAGAACGACCAAAATACGGCTCATCCAAAAAAAAAATAAAATTAACACATAAAAACAAAAATTAGCATTTGTCACGTAATTTACAAATAAATAAAACACATGAAAATTCATTTTTTAAATATAAAAAAAATTAATGTGTACAAATAAAAAAATGACAAAAACGTAAATTAAAAAAAAAATGACAAAAATACGCCTTATTCAAAAACATTTAAAAAAAAAAAAACATAGAAACATAAATTACCATTCGCCACATAATTTACAAATAAATAAAATACATTAAAACTCATTTTTGAAAAATAAAAAAAGGTATTGTATACCAATAAAAATAAATGAGGGAAAAAACGTAAATTAAAGAACAAGAACTAATTAATGTATAAAAAAATCAAAATGACAAAAACATAGATTTCTTAAAAAAAAAAAAAAAAAAAAAAGATTATTATTCTCATTCATTGTTTGATTTTGTTCAAATTTTCTTCTATTTGCAAAAAATCGGTCCAAACGGAGGCTGACATGGAGGACCACTTTCATTGCCTCACAGGTAAAAGTTGAACATGAAGGGCAGTTTGGTAATTTAACAGGAAGACACCTCACCAAAAAGCCAAAAAAGGCAAAAAGTCATTTCCAAACCAGACTTTTTAGGCTAAAATAGTCAAAAAAGTTAAAAAGTCAAAAAATCAACCCACTTCTCAAACGGAGGCTTAAATTGATTGTACATTGTATGTTCACACATTTACATGCAATGTGTACAAGTATTATAAATTTTGTATCAAATGTCCAAAGAGTACTCCATAACAAATTATCTACACTTTCGCAATTTTTTTTTTTTTTCAAACGCGACAAACTCCCTAAGAACCATTATCCCCCTTCACCCACTCCTCCACCATTTCCTAAACCACCTTCACCTCCACCTCCACCACCACCACTGAACCACCACTCCTTCCTCCACACTGAACCACCACCACACATCTCCTCAAGTACCTCTCCCACCTCCAATCACCACTACCCACCCCTCTCTTCTCATACAAGCCACTGCCACCTCTAACCTCTCCTACCCAAACCACTGCCACCTCTAACCTACCTCTCCTACCCAAACCACTGCCATCTCCTCCACCTCAAACCACCACCCCTCTCCTCCCTCTGCAAACCAATGCCACCTCCACCACCACCTCCCCTCATCAATCCCCCTCTTCCTCTTCCCCCAAGCCACCACCAGCTCCCAAAACCAATGGAGTTCCATATAAATTTCTAAATCAATACTACCGAAATAAATCATTACCATAAAGTGTAATCAACCCAAAAATTCCCCAATAAACCTGTACCATACGTAGTTCAATTTTATGTATGAATCCAGGCAAAAAGAAGTTAAAGTATGACAATTTCAAATTCTATTGCTTAAATAGTGATTTTGACATCCTAGCCTAGTGAATTACTGCTGTGGTATTTTGTTTCTTTTTTCAAGCAAGGATATGACCCTGCATATAGTTAAATGGCAAAGAACAGTAAAATATAACTAGCCCCAAGTAGCTGGGATTTAAACTTCTCCTGAGTTAGAGCACAAATTGCACTTTGGATCCTCAAGAAGAATTTTAGAACAAACAAACAAACAAAATAAATTAAAATAGCTGATCAGACAAAATGTCACATCAAACTTTTAATTATTTCAATTTTTTTCTCACAAACATCACATTTAACTACAAAAAATCAAACCATCTTCCGAAACACAAATATTTTAACCCACTAAAATAATCAAAAACTAAAATAACCTACTAAAATAATCAACTTCCCAAACGAGGCCAATAGATGGCCTGCATTGATGAGCTTGGAGTCCAGTTGTGTACAAACACCAAACATGTCCAAATTATACACAAATATATCTTGCTCCACAGAAATTTCAAACAATTATTTGACAAACTTTAATTTACCACCAAGTTCATAGCACTAAGTGTAAACACAATGACCTGTTAAATGGTTTTGGTTTTGGGTTTGGGTTTTTCAGTCCCTTTTCCCTGGAAAAAAACTAAAACAACCACCACAACCAACAATAATCACACATAATGTAAATAGCACATTACACACTGCCATTCTGCCAGAAATAATGAACTCAAATTAGTGTTTTTTTTTTTCCATCAAATAAATTCATTTAAAGCAAAGAGAATAGGCAAGTCAAAATTGGAAGTGATTGGTACATATATGCAGGTATCCATCACAAAAATGCAGAAGACAAATGTGCAACCTTGTCCTTAAGCAGCACTAGCACTAAGGCCATGTTTGTTTGGGCGGACTGGATTAGTATTCCAATGACTAATAGTCCTAGGACTACCAATCCGTTGGATTATGTATCCTATCTTAACTAATAGTCAAGTTTAAAATAATTAATCCGTACTTCAATTGTTTAACCAAACATCGGATTAATAATTTTATTGGACTATTAGTCCAATCCCAAGCTCATGTCCACCCAAACAAACATGGCCTAAGTGTAAACACAATGACCTGTTAAATGGTTTTGGTTTTGGTTTTGGTTTTGGGTTTTTCAGTCCCTCTTCCCCGGAAAAAAACTAAAACAACCACCACAACCAACAATAATCACACATAATGTAAATAGCACATTACACACTGCCATTCTGCCAGAAATAATGAACTCAAATTAGTGTTTTTTTTTTTCCATCAAATAAATTCATTTAAAGCAAAGAGAATAGGCAAGTCAAAATTGGAAGTGATTGGTACATATATGCAGGTATCCATCACAAAAATGCAGAAGACAAATGTGCAACCTTGTCCTTAAGCAACTTCTGCGCACGCCAATAGACAGCGTTAGCTGTTTCTGATGTTCCCATCTGTAAAATTAATCAGAATGATCGTCAAGAAATTTAAATCTGGTAGAAGACAAGTAACTGAATAAATCATCCATTTATGTAAAAGAGGCCCACAACTCAAGGTGGTCATACCAAATATTATTTTCAACGAGAAAACATAAAGATTCTATAGTAAAACCTTCATTTGTCTACAGACAAATTCGAGACCATGAATCTTTTTTTAGTTTTATTTTTTCAATTTTTACTTCTGGCAGTGCCTGCAGAATGGTATGTCTAGTTTTCAAGCTAGTGTAAATAAGTTTTCTAATCGTAAAATATTGTTTGAACATCATATTGTATTTTTCATGGAGTCCAGTGAATTCAAGTTTACCTTAGTCTCCATAGAATAATAACTTTTCCACAAGCTCACATCTTGTTCATAAGTTGCAAGCACAGATTCATATAATTTCCGGACTTCTAGAAGACAATCTCTATCACCAGCAGAAGCAAGGTTTGTTTCCAACTCAATGCAATTTTTATAAAGTGCAAGACCAGGACGGGGTAAAGCAAGAAATCTGCAAGCGAAACATGATAAAAGGCTCGTGACTTCAGAGTCATCTTATTATTCGCATATAAGATAATCTATAACTCAACAACTTCACAAAGTAGTACAACAAGACACATCATCTAACCATACAAAGGAACCAAAGCAAAAACAAAACAGACAAGTCCATGGATATATTAAACACCCCAGAAGACAAAAGGATTCACCATCCCTAACACCCAAGGAAACAATCTCAAAGATTTGCTTTCCATAAGAATAAAAAATAAATTATCCTCTACACCTTCAAGCACTGGCAGTTTCTCTCCACGAACTTGCCTTACTAATCAAAATGAAATGAAATAAAATAAAATATCATAAACCCAGTGAAAATAGGCTGCAACACGTCAACAGTGCAAAATGCAGATATGACATTAATAAAGTCCATTAAACAAAATTCAATAGCCCAGGATCTAGAGAAATACCGTTTGTATGTATCCCTTGCACACTGAATTCCATCCTTCTGAAGAACAAAGTTTACAATAGCAGAAGACAAGGAAAATCCATCATCACTGCCACCATCTTTAGCTAATGAAACCAGGGAAATCTCCACCAGCTTGTCAAAATAATATCTTTGATTTGAGAAAAACTTTAGGGCCTGCAGAAAATATATGTTAATGGGCTTACACAACCAAACAATCTGTCATTTAGTTATTTGTACTATACAGGAGGAGAGGAGGACGAGAATAATAAACATGAGAGCAGGAAGATGGTACTACTAAGGACTAGGGTCAGAAGCAAATACCATGACAACTAAATGGCTTCATCCAAGTAAATGTAGTTAACAACATCAGCCTACTAACATTTAAATTAGGTAAAGCAGTTATGGCAATAAGATCCAAAGAGCTTCCATCACTCCTTTGTTTGGAGCAGAAGAAAATTGATACTTCTTTGAGAGAAATCTAAACTTCCAAATGACAGAAGTCTCAAAGAAGAACAATGGTATCTTCAATGAAGGTATAACATTGAGATATATCCCATAGGCCAAGGCCAATTCTTCAAGGAAAATCGAGAGCAATTACGTGATAAGATTACTAATTAAGACACTACCCACTATAACAAATCCAATGTCTGAGCTTCTGGCAGGATCATTGAAATTTGGAATCTGTTTCATCCAGATCATTGGAATCATTTCCCCAAAATATGGAGGCTTGCCATTTGGTTTAAGGTGTGTAACAATGTCCTACAAATGAAGGACCAATTTTCCAATGGAAAATGTTTAAGACCCACAAAAAACATCCCACAATTTGATCCACACTGATGTGGCATGATAGATGATAACATTTGATTTGCCACACACTCAATTGTGTAGGGTCTATCTCTCTTGCCACATCATTGCGGGTGAATTGGGGATCTAGATTGTGGGTCTCTAGCACTTCTCTTTTCCAATTGAGGAGACCAACTGATATAGGGCCATATGGTTTTATTACAGGTGGGTATTCCATCCTGTAAAGGAGTTGAGGTTTCAAAAGTGGGTATGTAGGGTCGAGTCAGGTTAAATAAGAAGGCATGATCCAAATGGCTCTGGAGCTTCATCAGGGGACCCAACACTTTGTGGAACACTCTACCTCGTTTAAATGTGAGCTAAATCCTAATGCAAGGAGGATTCACCTACCTTTTTAAAGTTCCAAAATTTCCAGAGAAATAATTTTTTTGTCAATTCAGTTTACAAAGGCTTGCTAATCTTTTCACATTTACTCAATGCTTTAGTAGTTGATTTTCCACTCATAGCATATTAAAACTCCAGTTCTGGGCAAATTGCAAAGGTGTTCAAGTGAGAAATATCCTGTCTCCTTCCTTTAATTAAAGATGACTCTCCCTCGGTTTTAGTACACGTGGCATAATCTATGTTGTATGTCACACAAAGCAAACAAATGTTTTGTAAAAAATAAACTGATGTATTATTTATTGATGTATTGATTGTTACAAGATTGATATATTGTATTACAAATCAGAGTGGCATTATATAGGAGAGGGTTTGGGTAGTAGGTGAGGAGTAGTGGAGTGTAGTAGGTGAGTGTGAATGGTAAATTCAAGATGACTCTCCCTCGGTTTTAGTATACGAGGCATAATCTATGTTGTATGTCACACAAAAGCAAACAAATGTTACCTAAGAAGGACACGGATACAGATACGGACATGGACATAGGAACAGACACAAACAAGGTGATTTCAAAAAAATGGGAATATTGACACGGTGGGTGCACGACAATAAAATATGTTTTCATATATTTTTATTTGTTATCTAGATTAATATTACATCCACAAACAATCAATATTAACAAAAACTAGCTCTAATTCTCTCTCTCTCTATATATATATTTACAAAAAGAATTAAAATCAACACTTACAGTCCATATCTTTCATACGGATGATCTATTAACTATGTAAATCTAAGAAAAAATTAATAAACATTCAATATTCATCAAAAGCACTAAAGAAAATAGGAAAAAGACAACTTGGCATGTCCCGAAATGTCCCAGGTGTGCCCCTAAAAATAAATTAATTAAATAAGGGGACACGCTACATGCGTGTCCCCGCTGTGTCTGCATGTCCCTGTCGTGTCCGTGTGTCCAACACGGATACGAACTTGTTTTGAAGTGTCGGTGTTTCATATGTTACTAATATTTATTAGAATAAAAAAGCACATCAAAGCAGATAACCGTTAATTAAGCATATTTCAGAACTCTGAAAGTCATGAGGCAAAGATGCATACAATTATGATTTTGTGCGCCGGTCAATAATGGAATTAGAGAAAACCCAGTTTTGACACAAGCAAAGAGCAAAGTATGGATGCATTTGTTCATACCATAATCCACAAGCTCTCAGCTTTCCTAACGATCATTTCTTTAAGAACATTTTTCAGGAGTTCAAAGACAGGCAGTACGTCAGCTTTACTAGGAGAACTAGATTTCTCTGTAACACATCTCATCTCTATTGAAAGCCTCAGAACCCACAAATCCACTGCATCTGAAAGTTTTCCATTGCACAATTTTTCTGCCAGCTTCCTAGCTTCCTCCAATCTCCTCAGTTGCAGGTAAAATGAAACATGTTGGCAAGCAAGATCTTCCGTAATGCATCCCATGCTCTCTGCCCTTTCATATACCATCAAAATACATGAAATAGGATCCTTAGTATGATCATCAGGACTGAAGACCCCGGAACTTTGTGTTTCTTCATTTTTATGAACAATAGCATCCTTCAAAAACCTTGTATAGAGAGTAAACATAATGGCTGAAGGCAAAACTTTTATAGCCTCTTCATAAACCTGCAGGAGGCATAACATGCAAGCTGATCACCACATGGTTATATGCAACTGAGAAAAAGAAAAATATTTGACACAAAAACTTCATCGCCACTAAGCATGTTTCTCAAATATTGTTGACATTCAACAGCAGAAGACAGAAAATCCTGCTCAAAAGTAGTAGGCTAATAATACCAATATCAAAGGGGCAAAATGAAAATAGGCCTTGTGAAGCAAATAGGCCTTGAAACTCATGTCATCATGTTCCATCTGAAGTGAAGCACTCAAACATTCTATAGCATCTGCTTCACACCACTACCCCGATACTGCTTCATTTTAACAATAAGTAATAGACCCGTAATTTTTTTTTCTTCATTTTTTTATTGACGGAATGAACTCCATCCCTATTATTTTACCCTCTCCACATCTAAAGCAAATGTTCAGTTTCACTCTCTTGCATGCAATATGATTGTTCAGGGGGTCTCCGAAATTATAGTAAGGAATATAAACAAGCATTCCTGGCTTATAAACTTTTTGATTAGACAAAACATCTTGATTAGAGAAGTTTAATGCCACGTCATCCTTCTTAACCTATTACATTTACATGCATGCATTGTCTTGCAGCCAAAGAAAAAAAACAAGCCAAAAAGATGTGACACATTGAGAACAGCATCATACTTTGTCCTTGGAATCAAAGGATCTGGTGATTAAAGCACAAACACATCTATCAATAGTAAGACCAATCAATGTTGAACTGAATCAGCCATCTCACGTGATATTATACCTGAATTGCTTTCTCTAACTGACAGGGCATGATTTCTTTACCCATCTTCTGTGTGCTTTTAGAATCAGTTGTCTCGAGTCTTGCAAGCCAGTCCCAATATTCTGGTTCTTTTGAAAAATCTCTTTTCATGTCAGCTAGTATCTCATTTAGCATTTCTTCTGAATGAGCTAAGTCAGTTGCTTCCAGTATCTCAATAAATCGTGTTCTAAGGCTGAAACTAGAAGGGAGGGCTTCAACTGCACCACTATAAACAGTTCGAAGAATGCTCAAACCATGCTCCTGGAACAAATCCAATTTCTTGTTGGATTCTCCATTTTGGACATTTGATTCCTTGTCATTCTCTCTTTTCTCGTCAAGGACCATAAATAATTCTTTGTTTTCATCTCTCCATTGTTTCTCATCAGCATCTCGATGATCACGAATAAGTGATCCCTCATCTTCTCCAAGAGCAACTTTCCTTGCCTTTAACTTATTAAGGTATGTGAGTTCCATACGAAGATACTCCACCCAAAGATCCCCTGAAGTTGTGCACGATCTCAAACCGCTTTGCATGAGAGCACGGGCAGCTGCAGCATTTAAGTTGTGATCAAACTCCCAAGCCGCAGCATATATCCAGACCCCAGGCACTTTGGGATGAAATCTAATTAGCTGAGCCAGGACCTACAAAAAGTTAAGAGGTAAATATTTAAAACCTAATATCCTCCAGAGAGTGGTATTGACAATAAAAACACAAATCAACCAAACCCTGTAGATACAGCCAAATCAAATTTTTTTTTTTTGAACATCAATACATCTGAATCATTTCTAAAACCAAAAATATTCACAATACCAGTGCACAATGAACAAAAAAAGAACAAAGTCGAGTTAATTATAGGGCTATGAATTAGTTCAAATGATGCATTCAAACATAAGAAAACAAATAAATTTTGACTATTCCAGTGAACAATATTTAGTCCCGGATGCAGGGTAATTCAAGGTAAGCTCCAACCATTATATTTTTACTCAAATTGAGTAGAAGTTTGAGTAAAAAGCTTCATTTGATATGAAGGACTCCAATGGACAAACTCAAATTTGGGTAAAATTGCCAAGGGAAGGAGATGGGGTCTCCTTGATTTGGGTAAAAATTTGAGTAAAACTCAATTTGGTATAAGTTTGGGCTAAGGAATGGAGGGTGTCTTGAGTGACTTCTAACCAAATTTAAATTTGATATAGGTTTGAGTCAAGGTATGAAGATGGCCCAACCCTTACCCAAATCTTGACTCAAGCTTAAACTTGAGTAAAAAGCCACTAAATTCCCCTCCAATTCTTTAGTCAAACGTGTATCAAATTGAGGCCTCATTTGAGAACAGGTTATTTTAATAACTTTTTAGATTTTTACCTAAAATATGAGATAAAAAAAAAAAAAACTAGTATGCTTGGAATGATTTTTTGATTTTTTATAAAAAGATGTGCAAAAAGTAGAGAAAAAAGAGAATTTTTGACTTTTTGGTATAGGTTATAGGCTTTTTAGTTTTTTTAGTAACTTTTTGGCTTTTAGGCTAAAACAAACACTTGCCAAACGAGGCCTGAGTTTTATTAAAAATTTCACTCAAATCAAAGGAGACTCATTTCATTTACTCAAATTTCTATCCAATCGAAACTCGACACATTGGTGCTTCTTCTACCCAAAATTTCCAAATTCTCCTTACTCCAACTCCTAGGATCCACTCAAAACTTAACACTTACAATTTTACTAAAATTTGAATTTATCCATTGGATCGCTCACTTCATATTGAATGAAGCTTTTCACCCAAACTTCACCTCAATTTGAAAATAATGAAAACAGCTCACCATGGTTCAAATAAGCGTTGGATATAGACTAAGAGCATCTCCAACCGTTCACCTTTCCTTTCATCAAATTTAAGTGCTAAAAAATCACCTCCAATCCTTTAGTGGATCGTTAATCAAATCAAGGGAGAGTCATTTTTCACATTAAATTGGGAACTCATCAAATCCTTTATCAAATTTGAATTAGACGAAAATTTTAAAATATGAAGCATTGGAGATGATAACAGGGGAATTTTTTTAATAAAAATATTTTGACGAAAATGTGATGAAAGAAATGGAGTAGTTCATATCAAATCAAGTTTTTTACTCAAATTAGATGAAGGAATTGGTCAAGTGTTGGAGATGCTCTCAGTAGAGAAAGAAAAGAAAAGAAAAAAAACTATGGAAACAGCTAGTTATGTCTTCACTACCATGGTTCAAATAACAAACAAAGCATATAAAGCCTGGAAATCATATCAACACAGAGTAAAAATGTTCTATTTCAAGTGCCAAAAGAATCAATTAACATATATAATCATATGTAATACACAATTATGCATATATATATATATATACCTTCTTCATTCGTCCATTCTTGCGTTCCCTACAGAACTCCAGATACTGAAACCAGAGCTCAATATCGCCCTTAAACCGGTTCGTCGCGAGCCGATATATCTCCAGAATCCTCGAAACTCCAGCGAAATCGGAAACTGATTTCTTCATCTTCTTGTTCTGCTTCTTCAGCTCCCGAGCCACAGCCTTCTTGCGGAGTAGCCGGAGAGCTTCAAGCTGCTTCTCGTAGTCTATGTAGGCTATGAAGTCCTGTTTGAGAGGGCTCGGACGCTTGAGCCTGTACTCGAACTTCCTTCTCTGCTTCACAATCTCTGCAATCTCGCGTCGCGAGAAGAGTCCTCGGCACTCGAGGTCGTTGAGCTCGTCCACCATGCGCTCGAGCTTGTACTGAACCACGTCCGCCATTGTTAGAGAGATAGGGAGAGAGACAGAGAGAGAGAGAGAGAAGACGAAGAAGAAGAGTGGTAGGGCTAGTGATATTGGATTTAGAGGTTATGTATCTAATAGGGCCAACAAAAAAAAAAGAAAGGGCCAAGCCCATCCCAGATATTTGGGCCGGGCTTTGTTGCAAATTTACCAATGGGCGACCGCTCTACCACTGAGGAAACGGGAGATTTGAGCTGATAGAGTTCAATTCTCCATTCACTTACAGGTCAATTTTATTGACTAGATTTATTTATTTGTAAGCTATGTTTTTTTTTTAATATTTATTTTAAAATTATTAATATTTTCAAAATGTGTTGGGACAAAATAAGTATTTTAGGACTTTTTGGTGCATTAAAAAATTTTAGAGGACTTTTAGGTATTTAAGTTCTTTACATAAGATTGGCCTGTAATTTATCTTAAATTTTTTTAACAGTTTTGAAATGTATCGTTTGGAAAGTTGGTTTTAAGGCTAAAGAAGTTAAAAATTTGAAAAAAAATAAAAGGGTAAATTACTTTGACCTCCATTCAAATTTAGAGAAAATATAGTAAGTCTTACAGTTTTAACATAATTACATTGAGTTCATTTGTGACTTTAATTTATGTAACACTTAGTTTTATTTTCATCAATAATTTGTTAGTTATATGAATAAAAAAATCATACTGTCATCTTTTTTATATGAAAATATATACTTTTTATTTTTGTATTTTCGCAACATCTGCATTAGTTTGAACCGTTTAACCTTTATAGAAAAGGAATGCCAATGTAGTTATGTTAAAATTATACGACTTACTATATTTTTTCTAAATCTTGAGAAAAGTTAGTGTAATTTACAATAAAAAAAAGAAGTCATTTTTTAAAAATTCAATACAATTTTGGCATGGATTGCCCCAAGGCTGCCCAATATTAGTGTAAAATGAATAGCATAGCCTCACTACTGTATCACTTGGCTTGATTCTTTACCAAGAACAAAATAAAAGTTTAAGGTAAAAACAAGATATTTTGTCATGTCCATAACGTTTTTTAATATAATTAAAGAATTTATTCTCAAATGCATTAATTTTTTTTACCTCATAAAAAGTCAAATCCCAAATCACACCTTAGGATGGTATGACTCATGTCTATACATTTTAAATTTGAATATTTTTTCACTATTTTTTTTTTCCCCCACATATGTAGACATTGGTGTTGACTACCGTCTAGAATCCCCTTAATTCTTTTACAAACATGCACCAATCATAAGCATTCCTTTCTAATGGGGAATATACAAAAACATAAAAGTACATCTGATATTATGTGAATAAGTGCATCCAATCGATCTCCAAATTAGAGTGTGGTAGGTAACTCATATGCTTCAACAAGGAAGCTCTGGTTTGGCTATTATTTTGGAAATAAAAAAGTAAAAAATGACAGAATAAGTTAAATAAATTAATAAGATAAAATATTAAATCAAATTCATAATCATTACACTTTTTCTCTCATAAAAATTAAAAAAATCAAAAAATTCAAACCAAACGAGGTTAAAAAAGTCTCAACATAAAAAAATTGACTATATTGACCAATGCCAAACGAAAGTGAAGTACATTTTGTGAAGTTCTAACAACTGTGATCCTATCCATATTTCATATTTTCAATACAATGAAGAGGACTCTTTGGCTGTCTCTTTGAAAGCCATCCCATTATAGTTAAGTTTTGAAGTGGCAAGTGGTAGTTTAGAGTTCATTATCATTGACATTATTGTGAACCTCTTCTCCACCTCCACTTCCACTGTCACCGTCATCGCCGTTGCTACCATTACCTCTCCCACTTCCCATGCCAAACCCAAATCCAATGCCCATCCCAAATCCTATGCCAATACCATTATTGCCACCGAAACCTTTGCCACTGCTTTGCCTTGAGCCTCCACTATTGCCGATACCATTTCCTATGCTACCACTACCAGTATTAGTATTGGAACCCACACCTGTACCAAATCCACTACCTTCACCGTATCCAGATTCTTCACCAAAAGCTTTACCATCATTGTTGTCATTGTTTTTGCCGCCACCCCAGCCACCACCACTACCACCACCTCCTTCTCCTCCTCCTCCTATGCCACCACCCATACCAAAGCCACTTCCATAACCAAACCCTCTACCAAAACCACCACCACCGCCACCACCTTCCCCTCCTCCCTTGCCTCTCAGGCCACTTCCAGCACCAAAGCCACTACCATGACCGGAACCTTCACCAAAAGTACCACCTCTAACTAGTTATATGAATAAAAAAATCATATTGTCATTTTTTTTATATGAAAATATATACTTTTTATTTTTGTATTTTCGCAGCATCTGCATTAGTTTGAACCATTTAACCTTATACAAAAGGGATGCCAATGTAGTTATGTTAAAATTATACCACTCACTATATTTTTTTCTAAATCTTGAGAAAAGTCAATGTAATTTACTAAAAACAAAGAAGTCATTTTTTAAATATTCAATACAATTTTGGCATGGGTTGCCCCAAGGCTGCCCAATATTAGTGTAAAATGAATAGCATAGCCTCACTACTGTATCACTTGGCTTGATTCTTTACCAAGAACAAAATAAAAGTTTAAGGTAAAAACCAGATATTTTGTCATGTCCATAACGTTTTTTAATATAATTAAAGAATTTATTCTCAAATACATTAATTTTTTTTACCTCATAAAAAGTCAAATCCCAAATCACACCTTAGGGTGGTTTGACTCATGTCTATACATTTTAAATTTGAATATTTTTTCATTTTTTTTTTTTTTTTTCCACATATGTAGACATTAGTGTTGACTACCGTTTAGAATCCCCTTAATTCTCTTACAAACATGCACCAATCATAAGCATTCCTTTCTAATGGGTAATATACAAAAACATAAAAGTACATCTGATATTATGTGAATAAGTGCATCCAATCGATCTCCAAATTGAGTGTGGTAGGTAACTCATATGCTTCAGTGTAACAAGGAAGCTCTGGTTTGGCTATTATTTTGGAAATAATAAAGTAAAAAATGACAGAATAAGTTAAATAAACTGATAAGATAAAATATTAAATCTAATTCATAATCATTACACTTTTTTCTCTTATAAAAGTTAAAAAAATTAAAAAATTCAAACCAAACGAGATTAAAAAAAGTCTCAACATAAAAAAATTGACTATATTGACCAATGCCAAACGAAAGTGAAGTACATTTTGTGAAGTTCTAACAACTGTGGTCCTATCCATATTTCATATTTTCAATACAATGAAGAGGACTCTTTGGCTGTCTCTTTGAAAGCCATCCCATTATAGTTAAGTTTTGAAGTGGCAAGTGGTAGTTTAGAGTTCATTATCATTGACATTATTGTGAACCTCTTCTCCACCTCCACTTCCACTGTCACCGTCATCGCCGTTGCTACCATTACCTCTCCCACTTCCCATGCCAAACCCAAATCCAATGCCCATCCCAAATCCTATGCCAATACCATTATTGCCACCGAAACCTTTGCCACTGCTCTGCCTTGAGCCTCCACTATTGCCGATACCATTTCCTATGCTACCACTACCAGTATTAGTATTGGAACCCCCACCTGCACCAAATCCACTACCTTCACCGTATCCAGATTCTTCACCAAAAGCTTTACCATCATTGTTGTCATTGTTTTTGCCGCCACCCCAGCCACCACCACTACCACCACCTCCTTCTCCTCCTCCTCCTATGCCACCACCCATACCAAAGCCACTTCCATAACCAAACCCTCTACCAAAACCACCACCACCGCCACCACCTTCCCCTCCTCCCTTGCCTCTCAGGCCACTTCCAGCACCAAAGCCACTACCATGACCGGAACCTTCACCAAAAGTACCACCTCTAATCCCACCCCCACCTCCTCCTTCAAAGCCACCACTTTCTTTGCTTCCATCATCACCAACACCAACACCAACACCAAATCCGCTACCATGTCCATAACCTCCATCCATGCTACGTCCACCACCACCTCCGTGGCCTCCACCCTCTTTACCATCAACACCGCCACTGCCACCTCCAACGCCACTACCAGCACCATAACTAGACCCTCCACCCATCCCATCTCCACCTCCACTTCCACTTCCACCTCTTATTGGTCCACAACCACCTACACCACCAACCCCAGCTCCAAAACCTTCACCATGACCAGAGACGGATCTAGGATTATATCTTTAAGGGGCTACTCTATAGTTTAAAAAATTTGGGGCTACTCTATATAATTTTAAAATTATCTACAAAAAATTTGGGGGTGTGAACTCTTGTAATTTTAAGTTATTTTAAAATTTTTAATATAATATATGATATTTTTCAAATTTTTGGGGGTGCGGCCGCCCCCTGGATCCATCATTGACCATGACCAGACCTACCACCTATATTACCACCACCACCACCTCTTCCTCCTCCTCCACCTCCACCTCAACCCCTTTCATCCACACCTACTCCAGCACCAAACCGGTCCCCATGTCCAGCTCCTCCACTAACTCCTCCTCCACCACCACTCCCTGGACCAAAGAAACTCTTGCAGCCACGCCAACTTCCATAATAACAATAATCATCAGCACTTGGAACACCAAGTCATCGACTCTCATGAATATCCACTCAACAACTTTTTACGCTCATTGCAACAACAATGTTCAGAATAAGAAGAGCCACATTCAGAGATTTAGCAGAGGTTCCCATGGCTCTTCAAACAAGAGAAGCTTAGTGTTCGAAGCTCCACTTGCTTGGTCTTCTCATCTCCAAACCCTCCTCTATATATAACCATTCAATTATGTAACCATTTGGTCATATCCTAATTTAGTAATACAAGTGAGTATTGTTGTATAAAGAGAAAATTTATGTAGATTTTTTATTTAGAATACTGTGTTGTTTGGGTCCTGTCATTTTAAAATCAAAAGTAATGAGATATATTAAAAACAGATACATATAAAGATGTAACATAGTAACATTACAACAAAATGCACCTTTGGCGACTAAAAGATTTTTAGTTGCCAAAAGTACAATTTTCGGCGACTAAAAATTAATTTTGTTAGCGTTGGTTTAAGATCTAGTTACTAAAATATTTTAGTCGATAAATGTTTATTATTGGCGACTAAATTTGTTGGCAAAAATTTCACTTTTAGTGACTAAACAGGATATTAGTTGCCGTTAGTATACATTTTAGGCTATAAAAAATAAATTTAATCAGCAATATTGCTTTTTCCCGACTAAAATGAAAATTAGTCGCGAAATAGGACGATTGGCGACTAAGATTTTCGTTGCTGTTGAGTGATATGTGGCTACCAAAGCAGTTATAGTCGGCATGATTGATTCCTTTCCTGACAAAAAATAAAATTAGTCGCTAAAGGTTGAAATTTCAATGCGCGCCAATTCTTTTATTGCTGCGCGCACGTTGATCTGTTAGGTAACACAACTTCACAATAGTGTATCGCACACACACCTCACCAAACCTCACAGAAATCACCCCCTTACCGTAGCCTACCGTACGGGCGACATTGCGATGGCCACCGCCACTGGTATAAATTACTACCGTCATAGTCGAACGTCACAGGTTCTTTCTTTCTCTCTCTCTCTCTCTCTGTCTCTCTCGCGCGCGCGCTTTTGCACTCTCTTTCTCAGTCTGTCTGTGTGTCCGTCTCTCGCTCTCTCGTTCAAGTCTCTTACACAGTCTATCTGTCTGTCTCTGTCTCTGTCTGTCTCTGTCTCTCTCTCTTTTTCTCTCTTTCTCCATTTTCTGACATTGTTGCTGTAGGGTTCATTCAAATATGTGGCTGTAATTGATTAAAAATTTCGAAGATGATGTTTAATATGTGTGTGTCTGTGTATATATAATGCTTTATACACGTATTGCAGGCTTTTCTCTCTCTCTCACTCACTCACAGTCTCTGTCTGTGTCTGTCGCTTTCTCTCTTTCTCTCTCTTCCTTTCTCTGTTTCCCCATTTTCTGGCATTGTTGCTTTAAGGTTTTTTCAAAATTTAATGTATATGGCTGTAATTTATTAAAAATTACAAAGATGATGTTTAATATATGAACAAATCATATGAATTTTTATGATTCTGTCATCTAAAGCTAAAGATTTATCTTAATAAATTTAATAAAGTTACTATCATGCCATTTTAGATAAAATTTTTGCATTAATTTTGTTGAATTCTGGTTGTTCTTTCACAGAAGAATTTTTAAATGCAATTGATGGTGAATTCTGGTTTTTTTCTTTCACAAAAAAAAGATGATCTTAAGGAGTCACCTAGCTGTATTGTGGTGGTTCAATAAAGAATGATATGTATTCCCATGAGGGGAATGTTTGATATAGATAACTTTTTTTTAGTTTCTTTGTTCTATTTTTACAATTGGCCGTCCGAAGTTCTTTTACCCTTAATGGTATTGGTTTCCTTCTCGAGATGTAACTCTTTCCATTGCACAGGTTCTTCTAACTTCAATAAATTCTTTTCTTTGCCGATCCGAGAAAAAGGAAGAACAAGCAGAAGTGAAATGTTTGAACCTTGTTTACTTGAAATTTTTTCACCTTATATTGTGTAGACATCCCCGAACGCCCTGGGAGGAACGAGTCTCCCGTTCCGTTCGATATTGGGCTCACTACAGTTCGGACTCTCAATTTGTCACGGTTATAAATCTGAACCAAAGAGTCCAAATCCGATAAATCGTTTTGAGAAAACAGATTTTGAAAGAAGTGCCAAACATGGACTGCTTTTCCAAATACAGAGTCGCCACCTAAATATTTTATTTTGGGAAAATTTAGGAAACCCTGACTTGTTTGCCTAAGGCCACGTGTCCGTCATCACCAAAGTTGCATCGGCTCGGGAACTTGGGCACAATTGGGGAAGGTCACTTCGTGAGCACCCCTGCTCGCCCGATCAAAGATCGGCCTCTACTAACCATGATATCTATTTTTAAAAACATTATGTGTTCTTATTCCGGTTATTAGCCTAGATTACTATGTGATGCGCACAGCATACAAGTATAGACTGGATCGCCTGAATTGGAACAAAACATTTCATGTTTGTTTGTTTGAAAATGGTTTGATGGTGCTACTCGCAAGTAGGCTAAGACGTGGATTTGCCACCCTTAGGTAGGCTTAGAAAACATGATTTTGCCACTATCTTGTGGGCTTAAAACACACAGTGATGAATTCTTCCATTTCAAATAACCCAACCTTCACCCACAGGCAGTCAGGCAGTTATATCACATAAGAACATAGCCTCATGGTAAGCATGCTATCGTGGCATTCACTCACACGCATGCAAGGATGCTAAAGCGTAAAACTTACCGAGTACTCTAAGCCAAAACAGAAACTAATTAGAAATCCATGCATGATCCTAATTATACAGAAATGCCTAATGCAACACATGCAAAAGTGCAACTATAGCAGGCTCGGCTATTCTAGACATGGCATATGAAATGCTACAGCTAACATGTATTCAACTTGGAATTGAAAATATAATGCAGTTAGTATGATGCGCCGAGCCCGGTGCATGCAAGACAGATGAATGAATGCAAACATGCTATCATATTGTATGCTAATTGAAACATGCCCTAATCTAACCATCATAAGCGGGTAAATAAAAGGGAGAAAGACGTGGGGTTGGAAGACATACATCACACACACGCACACTTATTACAGTTGTGCCCTCGCACAGAGGGTCCGAATAAAATAATATACAGTCCCAAATAAATAGTACAGTCCAAATAAATAATACAGTCCAAATATGTATGAAAATCCTAATTAATTAACAAATTAAATAAGAAAACAATAAACTAGCATGCAAGCCAGGGACTGTCTCGACGCTGCTTCGGATGACGAATGATGCATGTTCGGGTTACTTTGTGCGGAAATCCACTGCGATGCCCTGGTTAGCCTCTGTTTTGCAATAATTTTTTGGAAAGCACGCCAAGCCCCGGAAGACTGCTGATTCTTGATTTGCTGCAACAGAGAACAGGAAAGGAGCATGGCAATGTATTTTCGCAAATGTATGCATGCCTCGATCCTCGTGCCATCAATCACGCATATCGATGCATGATGGCCGAGGAGTCGAATTGCACGACTCAATATGAAATGAATGCACATATAAATACAACAAAACCTAAACTCCATCATGGATAATCCGGAGTGTCGGTGATTGGGAATTGAGACACGTTCCGTCACTCGAAGTACGAAACGTCCCTCGTTTCCCGTGCTCGGGCTAACACCTATTCCAAGCACAATGCAATATGCATGATATGCATGAAATGTAACTAAGATACAACCTAACATACACAATGCTATGAAATGGCATACACGATGCACGAGATAACATGGCATACACAATGCGCTAACATACAACCTAGCATACGCAATGCTATGAAATGAAATGGCATACACAATGCACAATGGGCTTACACCAACATGAGTGGACCTCAGACACACTCACATAAGAGGCCATAAGATGAAAATGAGACACTCGAGATGCGTGCATATGTGCACGCAAACCGAGGACCGAACCTAAGACGCAAATGCCACTCTAACAAAGCATGGCAAGGTATGAAACATGATATGCAAAAATGCAAATTTCAGTACCAAAATATGATGCAAAATGATCCCGAAACATGGAAACATGGCTCCCGATGCATGGAATGGGACCCGAAACATGAATTTAGGCACATGGAATGACCTATGGCTATGCAAAGCATGCATTATTTGAATATGAAGTGTGAAGACAGAAGCAAGAAAGTCTCAAAACAAGAATGTTTATAGTTTTAAGCAAGGCCAAATAATGGACACAAATAGGACTAAGCTAGCATGCAAAAATGGCCCCGTAAGAGAGGTAAAGAAGCAAGTATAAGCTGCTGGCCCTAAATGGCCAAGAGACCTTCAACAAAGTTGAATAGAGGCTCAAAATGAAGCACTTTATAGTTTTCAACAAGTCACGGATCTAAACACAAACAGGCCTAAAACATTGTACAAGAAATGGGCCAAAAGGGAGACAAAGAAGCAAGTGATGGTTTCTGGCCTCAAACAAAGGAGGAACCTTCAATAAAGTTGAAGAGGGGCCCAAAACATGGCATTTTACATTTTATGATCAAACCCAAAACAGTGCACATGCAAGCCTAAAATACTATGCGAAATAAGGCCTAAAAAGAGGTTTAAACACAAAGAGAAAAAAGGGAACCTCAAACATCAAAGATCCCTTGATCAAACATGAAGAGGGGGTCAAAATAAGGCTATTTACAGTTCAGACTAGAGCCCAAAAATATAAGCACAAGGGGCTAACAAAACATGCAAAAATAAGGCCAAAAGAGGGATAAAGAGGCAAGTGACAAAAGGAAGTCTAAAACAGTGAAGAGCCCTTCAACAATGTTGAAGAAGGGCTCAAAATAAGCCAACTCACAGTTTATAGAAAAGCTCAAAACAGTTTAAAAATAGGCCTAAAATACTATGCAAGAAATAGGCATACAAGAGAGGTAAAGAAGCAAGTAGTAGCTAGAGACCTTAAACATGGAAGGACCCTGAAAAAAATATGAAAAAAACATCAAAACATGACTATTTTCAGTTAGGGTCGGAGCCCAAAAATGGAAGCAAGTATGGCTTAGAAA